TAAAAAAATTGATATTTCGGCCTATTGAGGGGTTCGTCTCGCCCATGTGACAGAGGAGTAGAAATACATTTCAAGCTCTCTTTGATTGCTTTTTTTGAACGATTTGTATTCTTAGTGTTAATTGAAAAGTTAGAGCTGTCTATATGATACATATTCTTGTTGAATATTTTTTACAAAACATTCTTTAAAAGATTTCTCTAGAGAAGTTCCTCGCAAAATCAACTCTTTTGTTGATGCCGGCTTTTTATACTGATCGATAGATCACCACGGGCTAAGTAAATGTTCAAGAGGTCTCTCTACAGCTAAAGTAAATATTTTGGCGTGCAAAAGGCCAAAAACGAAATATGCCAGCCTTTTCGCTGGCGTGGATGAAAGTTTTTTTTTACATAGAATCCTATGTTGCAGCGTATTACTTGGTCCTAACCGAAAGCTCTTGGTTTTCTGCATCAAAATACAGTACATAATCGTATACCTAAATCTCAGTTTTCGTGTCAAAAATGCCGTTTAAAAGATACCAAATTGACATGGTGTTATTTTGTAGGGGGTTTCTTTTGACACTGATCAATAGATTTTGACGAGCCGGACAAAAATAGACCTGTAGAACCTGAAATCGATATTTTTCGGTGAGAATAAGCTAAAATATTATTGATAATTTTTCTAATCCATTATCGGAAAACAAATTTATTATTAGAAAAAAAAATCAGGAAATTATTAAAAAAATATATTTAATGACGTTTCAGAAACAGGATCCATGGTTTATCTGCACGCAATCTCAACGCGACGAAATTTAAAAAAACAACAACAAAATATTTGAAGGCTCGGTGATTTACTTGAAGGAGTCACTAGATCATGCTGAAGCCTATAAAATCATGATGAAATGTTTAGTAGATCTTCATTTAATAGAATAGTAGACTAGTTACTGTAAAGAAAAGAAGAAGAGAGGTAATCCTTGTTGACGTCCTGGAAGTAGAATCAGTACATTAAATGAAACATATTAATCAAATCAAATGTATATTTATCTTCAAATTAGTTAAAAATAAGAGAGAGAGAGAGAGAGAGAGACCTTGCTGAGATGCAGCGAATAAGATTAATCTTAATTTAATAAAATGACTAATTATTTCTTTAAAACATTAATTTCTGAGCTTCGGTAACGGCCTAGAAACAGAATCAATGGATTGACTGACTCTACCGATAACGATATTGATTAAGACCGATTTCACCTACGTGCATCGGAAGTTAATCGACCCTATTTACGTGCGTTTTGGAGTCTACCAAAAGCCAATATATCAAGAAAGAGACTAATCTAGGGTTGGCTGAGCTCCTTGGAAGACGTATTAGAACAAACGGATGCAATAATTACGGAAGGGTAGCAGATTAAATGGAGCGGGGTAATTGCAATGGGATATTTGTTGGTACATATTTACTATAATCTATGTTGGGTCGAGTGTAACATCAACAAATCAAAGGTAAATTAGACGCTTACCTGTCTGGTATACTACCGCTTGTTTATCTGTTCGCCATAAATCGATCTCTTAACGTTGTCAGGTTTGGCTGATTCCCATCCGCCATAGAGCTGCACATAAGATGAAACCTCATTGGATTTATTCGTTTTTTTTTTTTTTTTTAGAACAAGCTTGTTTTTTGCGATTTTTATCTATTTTATAGGAAGTGTGTAGGGCTGTCGTGGGCTGCAGTTTGCGATTGTTGTTGAAAAATGGTTTCGGTTAATAAAATGCCGGCCGAATATTTACCTAGAGGTCTATGCACGGTGGGTCGTTTTTGGTACAAATCAATAGATCTCGCTGAATTGAATCAAAATGCGGTACATGTCTATATAAGCAAATTTGATGGTGCTCTATGTAAGAGATATTTTCTAGCAGCAATTATATTTTTAAGCGAAAATTTGAAATGGGTTTGCTATGTAACAATGACATGATTTTTTTTCTCGGATATATATACTTTTTTTTTTTTTATCGAGCTCTAAGATAATATAAGAGTGTTTTTTAATGCGAACCGAAAGCTTTCGATGAGTTAAATTAAAATGTCATTTATTTTAATATAATTAAATCTTAGCTCTGAACTCGAAAGTATTGAATAAAAACTTAACATTGTGTTTTATGTAAAAGGGATATTTTTTGTTATCAGTTAATAGATTTCAATGAGCTGTAAATTTATGACACACGTTCTTGTACCATGTAACATGTATATGTTCAAAAAAAAAGACCAAAAATCTGACTGATCGCTTTGGTTTATTTATGATACAATAGGTTGAAAATAAGGTTTAACACGCTTTTGAGCGAATTTCTAACGTATGCTTGTCGGAAGCTAATGCATATAATCTGAACGTTAGAATTGCAAGAGTTAATTGTCAATGTATAGTATGATTTAAATATAAAATTAGTAAATTAAATTAGATGTATCAATCAACACAAGACAGCCTTGGGAGCGATGCCAGCGGAACTTTCTATACCACCAGTTGAGGGTTAATTTTATTTTATTTTTACCATCATTCTTTGACACACCCGATCTTCTATATGATGCCCCATAAAATAATTGTATTATGAATAGACATACACTGGTCGATAAGTTATAACGAATATTCTATTTCATAGTTGTATACTTTGTACGAAAGCATTCTTATTGAAAATGTCTTCTATCACAATCATCTATAGTGTAGTGATCCCGGCTAACTACCCCCGGTTCAGCGAACACAACCTCATCGCTCAAGGATATATTTACTGTTTGTTTGTTTTTTTTTGAAATTATGCATTTTTTTCAAAAAATAATTTTAAAAAATTGTCTGTCCTCACAAAGAGAGCGAAAGCTAAAACGTTTGTCAAGTCATTGTTAGGCATGATTTATGAACGTATATTCATGCATGCTTTAGAGATACATGAGCAATTTTCACTATGGGATCTTCATTAATATCACTGATAAAATTAAATCGAAATATTAGTGAATATCTGTCATATCAAGTGATCTAATGCTGCCTAAAGCTAGCCTAAAAACCTGTATAGGATTTCGCCGCTTTTTCCTGTAGACTGTACACGGAGGCACGTGAGCGGACTGTGAAGCGAGAAACGCAGATGAGGGATATCTACAGTTTTTTTTTTTCATACAAGTTTACTATGGAAATGAGCAGTAGATTATAGTGAAACTGTGCGACTATAGTAAAAAGTGCAGATGACACCTCTTGTTGCCATCGATAATACCGAAGCGATTAGTTCAGATATTCGAAGTGACTGGCTTCGTCTCATTTTAAATGAAGTCAGGACAACTACCGACTAAACGAATAAGTCACAACACTGCTATCATCTCCTCTAATTTTCAGTTGAATAAATAAGATTGCCACATCTAGAATTCATCAGCATTTTTTTTTTCAAAGATGGCGACGAAAGCTAGCAAGAGCCCCAATGACGACACTCCAACCTTTGATTTTCAACAACAGCATTGAAAAACAGGCCATATTGTGCGGCCGGTAATTAATTTACTTGAAAGCATGATTCCATATCGGCTGATTTCGATGTGAGCTGTGACATCGAGTGGCTATCTTAATCCTATGATTGAAACCCTCTCGATTTTTTTGGCCGGGCTTCATGAAGCGATCTGACATGTTGTATTCGTAAAGTGATCCATAATTCAAGATAACACGGAACAGAGATAGCATTTGGCTGACATTTTTTCATGCATTAATCCAGCCCGATTTCGACACTGACTGGACTCAGAAGAAAGGCTAAAATTTTACTTTAGAACAATCTTATTGATAACTTTTTTTAGCAGCCTAACTCTAAACTGGATAGTACTCACACGAGGTAAGGCAGTGTCCATCTGCTCAGCTACGAGGTCTGACTTCCGCATCGATTAGCCTAAAAAAATGTCTTCATAGATGCTACACACATTTAGCTTCTTCCCTACTTTTACCCATCAAGTATCAGCGGATCGCGTATTTATTTTATCTGTCCACTCATAATAAATATGCACAAGTATATCCAACATAGAACATACTATCTGCGACTACCCAACTACGCTATAAGATCTGTTGAGGCGTTTTATGCCGTACAAAGAAAGACGTAAGTGGGTGAAAGGAAAAGCTTATTATTTTAATCATTTTCAAACATGCCCATGAGGTAGTTATCTACATTGCAAGTATTTTATTGCCATGATTTCAAGTTCAACATTAAGCATACTCTTTAAAAGGAAAGCCTCAACTACGTAATTCTTAAGACTTTGCCCTTACCTATTTCTCCTATGTCTACCTAGGTCAAATCTTCGGATAGCATTTGTCTGCTACTTAAACTATCTGTTGCTAGAATCACACATATGTACAGATACAGTTCTGAGACAACCTACCACAAGCGACTATGTTAAATAGGCGCTCATCAAGCTAAGCTTCATTTAATAAACGAGCTATTTATACCATTTAACGGTGTAGTGCCGCTTCCAAGAAAAGAACATTTGACAAAGTCAAGTGAATCTTCCTTTTAGCTTTTTTTTTCTATGAAAAAGTTTGCCTGTTCTCATTACAGGAGGCGCCTGATATGGAAATCCACATATACGTCAGAAGACTCATCGAACCGTTTGAGAACAAGCTGCTTTTGAGGTAAGAGGGCACATCGTTCGGGGGCTTGTTAGCAAGCGCTTGCCAACCTACCGATAAGTATGCGGCCTCGTCGTGTCCATTTACCAAAACGACGACGACAGAGATGGCTGCTACTATTGCTGGTGGCGCAGAAACGAAGGCCCGAAGAGCTACAAAAGATAGTGAACGCAAGACGGCTGCCGCTGCTGCCAGCAGAAAAAGAGTGGCTGAAGTCCGTTACCGCTGCTAAGTGAGAATTGTACGAACCAGATGGCGCTGTTGTCTGGACTGGATGGTTTGGGTGGCTGGTTTAAGCGGGTGCCGGGGTGCGGAGGAGAGTGAGGCGGGGGCGGGATGCGCGGTCCACGCAGTCGATCGCCAGCGTCAGATTGCTACGAAGCTTCGTGGGATTCACGTCGAAGCGGTTCAGCCCGGCAGTGTCACGTGAAAATGAGCATTGCTTTTCGGTGTGTTTCTTATCGCGTGGATACGTAAATGCGTGAATAGAATGTGCACGAACGTCTTAAGCGGAATTCAGTGTGAGCGAGTTATATGCTAAGCTAATTAAATGCCGTGTATTCAAATCTGTGTCTGTGTAAATCGTGGATTAAAGCACTGGATTAAGGGGTATCAACAAGGGTAACGGTACATCACATATCTGGACATTCATGAAATGGATTTTGTGAAGTGATCTCTATAGAACGAACTTCAAAGTGAACACTTGGACTTAGGTGGGAGGCTAAGTGGAGTAGATCCGTCAATATTGACAAAGAGGTGAGGTTCGTTGGGTACCTCAGGCCTTGTTCTGGTGTTTGACATGTGGTCACTAGGTTACCGAGTTGCACGAGATTTGTGCCTGCCGTTTACATGGGGTTCCTCTGGCCCGAGTCAGTCAACGGTAGTTCAATAAAGAACGAAAAATGCCAAACTTCGCCCATAAGTGCCAAAAAGAACGTCAACAACTTCTGCAACGAAAAGGAGAAGGAGGAAGGCAAGAACAATACAGTTCCACAATGTGGACCTGTTACATTGTCACCGTTGTGCTTCTTTTCTTCGCGCAGCCCACCTCGACGGAAGGTAAGAGATTTGCGGTGATGACCGACGTCATTAAATAGCGTAGCAAGTACTTTTGGTACAGTAAATGCTGTGCAGCTAGTAAAGGGGAAAACTATTTCCGAACGAATCATTCGTCGCCTTAATTGAATAATCTTTATTATTTATCTGCATTTGCACACAGAAAATTGCTTTTTTATTATGAATGTAAATAGAGAAGTTCGATTGATAGGTAAAATCAAGTGATTTTCTTCAAATAATCTGAATTATTGTGTTTGGTCAACCCGTATACACATCCGGACTATAATATACTTTAATAGATCGTTATCGTGGCAACGGAAATAGGCCACTTGCAGGTGTATTGGTACCAAAATAATCACCGTAAGTAAATTGAAGAAATATTTTCAGTCATTTATTTTGAGATTTTAGAACCCTCTAAAGCTCGAACACGAAAATCACGAAGCGTGAGTTTCCGAAGCAGTTTTTCGTGGAGGCAGTGTTCATCTAAAGTCAACCCTTTATCTAATTTTAGCTACATAACATAACAACTCTATAGAAAATTGTTTATGTACGAAGAAAAAAAACAGTGCATTACACGCCCATAGATACAATAATGCACTACGTGATCGATGAAATAGAATGGGTATGAAAGCGTTGTAGGAAGTATTTCATTGTGACCTATTTCGATACGATATTATTTTTTTTACTCGAAACCTTTGCTCCCATAAATAATGATACTTAGCTATTATGGAGCTGGGGCATATACCCTACGTATTCATGTAGCCAGGACGAATCTGAGTGTTTTCATGGATCATCCGCTCACGTCAAAGGTTCGTGACGAGAGTCTGTACTTAACGTAACACGTATAACGGGCCATTGACAGATGGAGGGGCCTTATTGAGCGCAAACGTCGTGATGTGTTATTCGCAAGATAACGCTGTGCGATTATTTATGTTGATTAAAGTGCTTTCATACACTTCGATATGTTTTCTGTGTGATAAAGTGGTTTTTACTGTCGCTGACCTCTCCAGCAGGGAAAGTCAATACGCTGATACCCTCATGCGTCCAATATCTCATCTATTACAAAGAAGAGGGATAAACATGAAAAAGCGGGAACGGAACGACGTGATGGGGAATAATGAATTTTGTTGCATTTGTTGTCCTATCGTGGCTGGTCCTAACAATAGGAAAGAAACAATGTTTGCTACTATGACAAAAGAAAAATAATGACAGCCACATGTTGCAATACTAGGATGCTTGTTGTATGTTAAAATCCTCTAGTTCGTCTTGGAAAACTAAATACGAGCCCTAACATGCTGATCTATGCGCGGAGAGCTCTATATCATCGCCGTAGCTAATCATGACGAAAGTTCAATCGTTGTATTCGTGACGATAGTACCTCCACAAAGACATCTTAGCCCCTATTGACCAAGAAGTATCGATATTTAAATATTGTTGCGCGATCCTGTACGTATCAAGGTAGCCGATTGAATCAGTTCCCAATGCTCATCAAGGTTGTCTTTCGAAGAAAATGAGCAGCGTTAATCCTTACGAAGGTGCCATCCCGGGGTAGCAAAAACAGATGCAACAAAATAAGCTCGTACTCTGCAAAGATAAGCGTTGCGCACGACAGCTTCTTATTGGCTGAAAGATAGCCTGTCACTATATGCTGTAGATGTTTCTGAAATGGGCCAATTTATGTAAAAATTGAATCTTTTTATGCGATCTTTGCTTTACAAAGAGGACATACCACAGAGGGTTCGGCTACTAAATGAGGGCTGTCGGCTATGACCTGCGTACTATCGAAAATGTGACAACATCGCCCCAGAGCTATGCCAAACAACTGATGTCTGGTTTATTTTTTAGTTTGTGAAGTATATGTCTATGTGTAATGAGGTTTTGAGCGTGGCAAGTGCGCCGAGGACCGCTACAGCGCGGACAGCTGCAAAAATAGCGATCAATAACATAATTATACTGCTTTGTCCTAATCGAATTAGCTTGCTCATAACTATATAGGATTGGTTTCTGAAAAATACGTCTTCTTCTTCTTCTTCTTCTTCTGAAAACCCTCGAAACGATGCTTAACACATCTAAATATGATCATTTATAGAACTTTCCAGCAATAAAACAGTTAATCTTTTTTTACTGAACGTCGTTGCTATTTAAGCCAACTATCTCAGCAACTGTTTCGCACTACGAACAGCAGGTCGGTATACGTTTCTTATGGGCAAGCACTAATCAGTATATATATATATATATATATATATATATATATATATACTGACGAGACAAAGGCAACCTGTTTAAAAGGAAGACAAAATGTCTCGAGCACGAATTGTAACAAACTACGAGCAAAGTTTAATATCGCAAGGCTTTTTTAGCAATATGTTAAACGCTAGAATCCGCAAGCTCATCGTAATCGAACTGGCGCAAATAATGGAGCTGCAAAAAAACGCCATTTTATCCTTGTATAAACCTGTAGGATGTATTGCGCATAGCACCGGGGTCGAATATAATCCATTGAACTAATAACATTAATAGGGACGTTGTCGCACAACTTTCAAGCATTACTTTAGAGATTCGTACTATGCTACGTGATCCGAAAGTCTGTGATACGCTTGCGAGTCACAGACCCTCGGAATTGCTTAGAAAATCAAATCCGTACTTTCAATTATAAACTTATCGTGCAAAGCTTTCTTTTTCACGACCTTATCGTTTATTAATTATATTACAACTACTTATATTGTTACTATAGTTACCATTATTATATGTGAACTTTATACTATAAGGACTTGAAGTATGGGCACCCTAGAGCTGGCGAGCTTTCTCCCCCAAGCGGCTCTTAGTCGCATATTCGATTGCTATATGCGATGTACATATACTATGGTTGAGACTTCTCTCTGCAGCTGTGGACGTAAAATACTTGTCATTGTGTCGAAAGAGTCGAATTCGAACGGGTTTTACTTGCACTGTCGCGGCCGACGGCTGAGAAAGCACTTCGTAGTCTTTTAAGGTCGAAGGAATCGAGGCCACTGAAGGCTTTTTTCTGCAGTTGCACCTAGGAGGAATACTTCGCGTAAATTTAGCTCCTGTCCGGCCTTTCTGTCTTCGTGACCCCGGTCGGACAGAAGAACCACTTCACTTCGTATCGGAGAGGGACAGTTACGGAAGCTCTTCTCCTCCGGAAGCAGTAACTTGCCAGTTGGATCCCTCCCAGACGATATTCTCAACCTGTCGACAAACACAGACATGTTGATAACTAACGGTACCAATGCAGACGACACCAGGAGCATATTGTTGTAAAAATAATGCTTACTATTATTCTTATTGACCCAGTTGGTCTCCGATCTGCGTTTTTATGATATTTTGTCTAAACACAGATAGTTGATAAATGCCGTTGCAAGCTATTTCCAATCTTGTACGCTTTTAGTTCTGGCTCTTATCTGAAAGAGGTGGACGCAACACATCCGAAGCTAGTGATGATAAAAAATGTGAATTTCTTGTATAGAACTCCTACCAGTAATAGAATCCTTTGCCAAACGCTATTACGAGTTAATATGGCTTGTTAATTTTACTTAATGACACATTTGAAGACGTACCTGCAGGGAAGATCTCATCTTGTCTAACGATCAACTTTGGTAAGATTTCCGTAAAGGTCGTCGATGCGATAAACATGTGTCAGTTTATACCGCTACTTATTACAACAATTGGTCGTACATGAGTGGCTAGAGCGAAAAGAAAATTTATATTTTTCCAGACGGTACAAAGTGCCTGTTGTTCCCTTTATAGGTCCGTTGCACCTTTTTTCGTGTGACCAATATTAACCATCATCTTAGGACTATATCATCTCAACTAATGTAGAAATCGTGTGCAGAGACAGAGATTAAACACTCATCCAGTGCCTTAGGACATTGTAGATAAGCTATTAAAACATGAAAAGTAGGCAACGATATAGCGCGCGGAATTGCATAACCCATATCCTTGGCGTTTTTAGGGCTGTTTTCCTTGCGAAATGCAACATAATATGGTCTGCACCTTTATTTAATTTTTGGGTCATCGACACTCAACAAAAGCTGTTCGGTCCCAAATCACCGAAAACCCAGTATGCGAGACGAAGGTCTGTATTGATTATTATTGTATCATAATTGCTTAAAAAGTACGAGACGCTTTTAACGTCTCGTACTTTAAGCAATTATGGGAAAGTGAAATAGTTTCAGTGGAGTGGCCCCTCGAGAGACGCCAACTGCTACATCAGCGATCATCTATTAACCCACTGCATCGGCCGCTCACTGCTTATCTTAGCATTAAAGCAAATGTTGGGTTTAGCCTTTGCCAGGTGTGGACACGGAAAATCCATCCAAATTTTCACTAGGCACTATATGCGACTCATTTAAACTTCAGATCCAATTGACCGTCAAAAGCACAAAGCTTTCTGAAGTTTAACTGTTTAGGTAGGAGTCCACACATGAGCTTCAGTTACCGAGTCCTTTTCCCTTATTCGCTTGCAATATGCACTGCTATTTAGTTGATCAATGAATAGCTTACCCATGGGTATGAATTGGGTCATTATCGATTATTTGCGAAATAGCTGTGTGCCATTTTTGGAGTACATCTAGCCTTGAAGAAGCCTAAGTAGAAGAAATACATTTCTGTCCAGAGAGAGAACTTAGGTTTACAGGAAAAAATCGGATCTTCAAAAGCCGTCATTTATAGTAGGAAATATGGTAAAAGGGCAAAGTTGATGCTTACGCTATTGATTAATGCATTCAGTCGCTTTTTGACCTGGTCAGTAAGAGGAGGAGGCAGTAACATAAGTGGGGCCGCAATCATGAACCGGAAGTGTTGAGGTGTGGAAATCTTATTGCAACCGACGGAGATTGACTTAGTTGTGACCACCTCTTATAGACACGATCCAGACACGCGCTATTTTCGCTACGTGGAACATGGGTCTGACACCACTCAGAGAGCTAATGTTTTCCAGATACCAGTTCGCGGAAAAGTAGAACTTGTCAATTCACGCATCG